AACTGAATGGATAACTAAAATGTGGTATATCCATACAATGGAATATTATTTGGCAATAAAAAGAAATGTAGTGCTGATATCTGCTACAACATGGAGGAACCCTGAAAATATTATGCTAAGAGAAAGAAGTCAGTCATAAAGGACCACATATTGTATAATTCCATTTATATCAGATGCCCAGAACAGGCAAATCTAGAGAGACAGAAAATGGATTAGTGGTTACTTGGGGTTGGAGGGGATGGAGAACTGGGTATGTGTGTCACATCTAAAAGGTGTGGAGTTTCCTTCTGAGGTAACGCGCATGTTCTAAAATTGACTGGGGTGATGGTTGCACAACTCTGTGAATATACTAAAAGCCACTGAACTGTACACTTTAAATGGGTGAAATATAGGGTATATGAACTGTATATCAATAAAATGTACTAAAAAGCCTAAAAAGGGTCTAGGTGATTTGCAACTAAATAAACTGCCTGCCAAAACAAACTCTAACACTATTTAAAGGAAGACAATACATGTTATTCAACTATATAACATGAACAATATCTAGCATCCATTAGAAATTATTAGATTTGCAAGAAGCAAATGTGACCTCTAACAAGAGAAAAATCTGTCGAGAGAATCAGACCCAGATAGACGTAATGGAATTAGCAGAGAACTTTAAAACAACTGATGTATGTTCAAGGATTTAATGGAAAACATGAAGATAACAAGGAGAGAAATGGAAAACATTAAAAAGAACCAAATGGAACTTCTAGAGCAGAAAATACAGTATCTGAAAGGAAGAACACATTTTAGTAGATTAGATATTGTGGAGGAAAAAAAAACAGTGAAACTGAAGACATAGAAATAAAATATATCTGAAAAGAAGCACAGAAAAAAAAATTACTGGGGAAAACTCCATAAAACAACAGTCTCAGTTGAGTAATTGGAGTTCTGAAAAGGTGATGGGTGGTAATAATTATTTAAGAAATAATATCTAAGAGCATGGAAAGAATATGATAATCAAAAGATAGAGACAACACTCGACACAATTCAATATCCATTCATAATAAAAATTTTGCAAAGCTGGAAAAGGAACATGTTCAACAAGATAAAGGGCACCTATGAAAAAGCTACAGTTAACATCATAGTTAACAATAGTACACTGAATGCTTCCCTTTTAAGACAGGAAACAATGAGGTCTGTCCTCATGACTTGAATACTGTGCTAGGCGTCCTAGACAATGAAATGAAGCAAGAAAAGGAAATAGCATGGTCACAGATTTTAAGACTCAATATTGTTCTCCTCAAATTGACTGACAGACTTCCAATACCATCAGGCTTAAAAAAAAAAAGTCATTAAGAGACTATGGTATTGGCATAGAGATAGACAAGTAGAACAATGTACAGAATACAGTCCAGCAACAGACCCACACTTAACACAATAAAACAATCCTATGACAAAAAGAATGTTTTTTCAATAAATGGTGTGGGCTCACAACTGTCTTTTTTTGCATAGTGTTATTATGTAAACAGCAAAAATACTAACAATGTACAAAAAGGTTACTAGAGTAAGTGAATCTTAGAGGATAAAAGGTCAATATATTAAAAATAGTTTCTATATACTAACAGTAAATACTTAGAAGATGAAATAAGCCATAGCTTTTGCGATAATTTTTTTTCTGTTCATAATTAGGCAATGAAGTGAGATGTAGAGAAACAAGTATCCTCAAGTATTAAAAAAAACTTTGGGCTGTAGATAGAGGGGGTTCAAGAGGGAGGGTAGGAAGAAGAAAAACTGCCAGTATTTGCACATGACATGAACCTATATACAGAAAACCCTAAAGACTCCACCAAAAAGCTATTAGAATAAATGAATTCAGTAAAATTGCAGGATACAAAATAACATGCAGAAATCTGTTGCATTTCTATACACTTATAATGAACTGTCAGAAGGAGAAATTAAGAAAACAATCCCACTTACAACTGCATCAAAAAGAACAACATACCTAGGAATAAATTTAACCAAGGAGGTAAAAGACCTGTACTCTGAAAACCATAAAACACTGATGAAAGAAACTGCAGACAACACAAATAAATGGAAAGGTAAAGTGCTCACGGATTGGAAGAATTAATATTGTTAAAATGTCCACACTTTCCAAAGCAATCTACAGATTCAGTGCAATCCTGATCAAAATACCAATGGCTTTTTTCACAGAACTTGAACAAATAATCCTACAATTTGTTATGGAACCATAAAAGATTCCTAACAGCCAAAGCAATCTTGAGAAAGAAGACAAAGTGGAGGCATCATGCCTCCTGATTTCAAACTATACTACAAAGCTAGTAATCAAAACAGCATGACACTGGCACAAAAACAGACAGATAGATCGATAGAGCCCAGGAATAAACCTACACTTTAATAGCCAATTAACCTACAACGAAGGAGGCAAGAACATACAGCAGGTAAAGGGCGGTCTCTTCAGTAAATAGTGTGGGGAAAACTGGTTGGCTACATGCAAAAGAATGAAGCTAGACCACTTTCTTACATCACATACAAAAATAAATTCAAAATGGATTAAAGACTTAAATGTAAGACTGGAAACCATAAAACTCAAAAAAAAAAAACCATAACCAGTAAGCACCCGGACACCACTGGTCTTAGCAATATTTTTTTTGGAAATGTCTCCTCAGGCAAGGGAAACAAAATAAAAAATAAACAAATGGGACTACATGAAAAAAAGGCTTTTGCACAGCAAAGGAAACCAACAAAACAAAAAAGCAACTTACTGAGCTGAAGAAGATACTTGCAAACATTATACCCAGTAAGGGGTTGATACCCAAAATGAATAAAGAACTCATACAACTCAATAAGAACAACATAAACAACCTGATTAGAAAATAGGCAGAGGGCCTGAACAGACATTTTTCCAAAGAAGACATACAGATGGCCAACAGAAATGTGAAAAGCTGCTTAATATTATTAATCATCAGGGAAATGCAGATCAAAACCACAATAAGACACCACCTCACATCTCAGAATGGCTAATATCAAAAAAACAAATAATGAGTTAATGAGGATGTGGATAAAGGGGGACCATCATGCACTGTTGGTGGGAATGTAAATTGATGCAGCCACTACAGAAAGCAGTATGGAACTTCCCCCAAAAATTAAAGATAGAGAGCTACCATGTGATCCAGCAATTCTGCTTCTGTATAAAAATCTGAAGAAAACAAAACCTACTGATTTGAAAAGACATATGCACCCCTATGTCCGTTGCAGCATTATTTACAATAGCCAAGATCTGGAAGCAACCTGTGTCTATCAATAGATAAATAGATAAAGAAGATGTGGTAAATATATGCAATGAAATATTACTCAGCCATGAAAAAGAAAGAAATCTTGCCATTTGCAAAAACACATGGATGGACCTAGAGGGTATCATGCTAAGTGAAATAAGCCAGAGAAGGACAGTGCTCTATGATTTCACTTATATGTGGAATCTAAAACAAAATAAATGAACAAACAACAGAACAGACTTGTAGATACAGGAAATAAACTGGTGGTAGCCAGAGGGGAGGGAGGTAAAGGGACAGGTGTAGTAGATGAAGGGATCAAAAGTACAAACTTCTGGTTACAAAATAAGTAGGTCACAGGGATATAACATAGTATAGGGAACATAGTCAATAGTATAGTAACAACTCTATATAGTGACAGACGGTAACTAGATCTATTGTGGTAATCACTGCATGATGTATAAAAGTATAGAATCATGATGTTGTGCACCTGAAACTATTATAATATTTATGTCAATCATAATTTTAAAAAGTAAAATCTTTAGGCTGTATATCTAGACATAATTGCCCCCACCCTTTTAATAGAATTTTTGATTGAATTAACTATTGCTGAGATTTAAGTGAGATTTAGTCATATTTTATAAAAATATGTCCACTTAATAATAATACTTGTGATGATTTTACTAGTCCAAAAGCAGAGATCCAAGAAAAACCAATATTTACCTGCACTGACAGTATTTAAAAAATCAGAAGTCATGAGAAACATTCTAAGAGTATGTCTTATGAAGAAATGTTATTTTCTCATTTTATGTAGAAATTTCATTTTTAGGCAACATAAACCATTATATGTAAAAACAGTATTAACTGGACTGTCTTTTACCTTTTTGACACCCAAAATAGTACTAATTAAAGAAAAAAGTCTATCATTCTGTTTTTCCCACCCTTACAAAAGCAGTAAACAACCCAAACCCAGACCAAAAACCTAACTAGTTAGTAAAATCACAAAAATCATAATGTCAGATGAAGGCCAAATGTGTTTTTCAAATTGTGCTCTTACAAAATGGCTGGAACAGGGACCAGGGGGTTCTGCCACTAAAATTAGTCAGAACAGTCTTTTCTTAACTTGCAGAAAAATATCCAAACTGAATTTCTTCAATTTTAAGCTTTACTTTTTTAAAACCACACAGTACATGTGGTTGTTAAAAAATTTCACGGTCAACTGCACGAAGGTACACTCCTGCCCACAGGCCTGGGAAATGAGGCTGGTGCTCCCATCTCAGAAGGAGGCTGTCCCTGGGGGGCCCTGGGCAGGAGTTGCACGGGGGGCCTCCTCCATTCGTGGGTCCAGGCAGAATCTCAACACTACAACATGGCCCAAAATGCTGTGAAAGATGGTAACTTTAGTGAAACTTACAGAATATCTGGGCACTGAGTAAGCTCACAGAAGTCTACTAACCTGAGGATTTCTGAAAACTGAATAAAGAAGCTATTGCCTTTTATTTTTCCTAAGATTACTTACTTTAAGCTTCAAATATGACTGATTTACACTGAGGTTTCCTGTATGTTACATATATTTGGAAAAAATCAATGACCAGCACTACCACCCCCGTACTGAGGAAGAAAAAAATGCAAAAATCTTAAAATATATACACACACAGACTCCCTTATACACAAACACAGCAATACACAGCTCTAATGACTGACATAAGGATTTTTGGCACTTACCATGGGTGATTTATAATATCTATGTAGTATATTTATGAAATCTGTAATCGTTAGCATGCCTGGAACAGAGAATTATATGTTAAATATAAAAACTAGACAAGTTTCTAAAACACACTGTCAAGGTATCAAGCTCAGTTTGATGTACTACTTAAAACTATTAACCTGTTAATTACATACTAAGATACACAAATTTGGCTGAAATTAAATATGATAGGAAGTACGATGGAATTAATCACACTATGTGGCAACTCAATGATACAAAAAAGTATTTTATAAACTCTAGAAACATGACACTTCTGGGGATATCTGGAGTGTGTCCTGAGCACTCTATTAACAATGGTTTTAACAGTCACTGTTTATTAAGTGCCTACTATGTGCCAGACACCAGGACTATAAAGATGAAGATATGAACCTTTTCCTGGAGGAAAGTTACACGATATTTAGATATTGTAAGTTACATGATACTTTTAGTAGTATAACAATGACTTATAGAAAAAGTATGGATCACATTCATGTAATTTCATTTGCCCGTCAAAAAGGTGTTCCCCAGTGAGAGAGCAGGGAGGGACCACAGATGTGTAAACGTGAACAAAGGTGGCTGACAGAAGTCTGACCACGGCTTCCCCTGCGGGTGCTCTTTCCTGGGCTCACAGGATCGGGCAAAGGCATGTGGTTCAGAGAGCCAGAGGTGTTGAATCAAAGAAATGCCATCAATGCAAAAGAGAAGCTCAACAAAGTATGTGTTTTGAATTTACCAGAGGCCTTGCCTTACCCAGGATGTAAAAGCAAGAATATTCTTTAATTTAGTAACATGTTTACAAGGCTGAATTCCAGACCAGCACATATTAAAATACAAATTAAAAAGCTTTCTGCTTTTAAGGCCTCCCATTTCAGATTTTCCCCTGGCCCACACTGCTTACCTACAAAACTTTGTTTTTTACTCTCCCACAGTGGTGCTGCTCGAACACCATTGGCTACTAATGCAAAGAAGGCTTTTTTAACCTAAGGGAAAATAAGAGAAAAAAACATACTTTTAAGGTTACATTTGTCAGGGTGAATATAATACCTTCAACTAAAGTAGTCAAGCAAATCTTTTCAGTTACCTTCAAACATTAAGTTTTGTTAAGCTTGGTAAACTAAAAATAACTGAATTTATTAACATTAGCAAAAATGATTTTGTATTATATTTAAATGGATGTAGGGATTGGAGATTATTTTTTGAAACTGAATGCAATTAACTTGAAAAAGTTTTTATTGTATCTAAAGACCTCTGCATACACAGCAACATTATCTAGATAAAACATACAAGAGTTAAACTTCAGTTTAATTTCTTCTATATGTGGTTATTACTTCATTTGAAAACATTGAAGTTATATCAAACTGCATGAAATGAAAATGTTTTTCACATGTTCAACAATAAAACAAGCTTACTTTCTCATTTCCCTGAGGTTGAGAAAGAAAAGGCTTAAAAGATGCAAATTTGGTTGTACTTTTATACCTTTTAGACACAAACATACACTGTGTGCCTGTTACAGGTCAGGTCCTGTTCAGAGCACGTTGACTACAGCTACTTCCTGAGCCCGAGACAAACAGTCTCTGGGATTCCACAACGGGTAAGGGAAGCACTGGAACGGATGATTTATTAAAGGCCAAAGCCCAATATTGAAAATGATCCTCTAAATACACAGAGCAAACACACACATAGAAAATGGTTTAACTTTTTAACTAAATAAATGAGAATTAAAACATATCTGAAGTATCATTTACAACTGCTCGATAAGCCGCTGCTTCTTGGCTCAGCACCTAAGGCCGTCATGAGACCGCTGGATGTATTATGAGCCACAGCTTGTATCCAGAATCATAAAAATATCCATACTTGCTTTGCATGAGTCTTTCCTCTGTTGAAGTTTACAATATTAATATTTCAGGAGTAGTATTCCTGGATCAAACAGGTGCAATGTGGCATTATTTCTAATAATGAAACTGGAAAAATACTTGCCTCCAACAAAAGAAAACTTGTTAAGTGTCAGCATACCAATGAGAAAAATGTAATTAGGAAGCCCCTGCTGAAGTAAAATTAAAAAAAAGGTTTATGGAAATGAAAAAGGCAGACTATAAAATTATACATTATAATTATATAAAATATGTGGTTAGATGGAAAAGGTCAAGAGAAATAAGCAAAAAAATTAAACTTCTACACCAAGGAGCTGGGACTGTATTTCTTTAAAAATTCTTTATGCTGTGGTCTAGTTTTCTTTATAACTAAGGAAGAAAAAGGTTCTTTTCTCACCCTACTATATTCCAAAACCCCTTGTTAACTTACTAATGGAAAGAAATGAGAGAATTATAGGAACTTAGAGCTAGGAATAAAACCTCAGCACCTGTTTAGGCCCTGGGATGTTTGCCCTGTCTAGCAATGACTTCAGGAGGTGCTGGCTGGCCTGCGCAGAGTGGGTGGAAGGATGCCTGGTGGGAGGCGGTCTCGTTCATTACTTCCTGTACTTAGCTTAGCCCAGCCCGGCCCAGCCCTGCGTCCTGATACAGCAGGGACTCTGTGACTCCGTCTCAGCTGAACAAACCAGCAGAGGACTGGGAAGAGGGGGTGAGCAGAGCCACTCCAACGCCATGGGAGAGAAACACAAATGAAATGGCATCCACCAACTGATACAATATTTTTTATCAGTTTATCACAGCTTACATCAAAAATCACAAAAATGTCCTTATTGTTTAACTAAATGGCATCCAGGGATGGTGTTCTAATTGGATGATTTACTGTTTCTACCTGGATGATGCCCTGAGACCCTTGATTGTGGTTCTAGGAAACATTATAAGAGTATGGGTGAAACATTGCAGATAAACGGATTTTAAAACACATTAAAAATCTGCCTAGCTTGTTTTTCTAACCCACTGGAGTAGGAAGGGGGCAGGGGCATCTTTTAATCACGGACTACTTACTGTTTTCTCCACAGTAACAGAGGCAGAAGAGAAAACCAGTGTTAAAATCATTCATCAGGATCTTTCCTGAAATCCTAAGCGACCACAGCTGTTGGAAACCCATTCCAGAAAGTTCTGAGTTTGGCCAGGATGAAATAGCTGAAAACAACTATACAGGTTGGATAAAATATACAGATTGCCACTTGACAGCCCTGAGCGCACCCCGAAACTCATGTGAGCTCCACAGTTATTGTTTGTTTTCTGAGAACATTTTCAAATCACCTCCAAATAGGTAAATTTCAAGAGAAAACTGGAATCTACTAAACAGAATCAAATAAACCCCAGGCAGGATAAATACAAAAAAGCCGACACCTAAGCACATGATAGACAAGATGCTAAAAATCAAAGGCAAAGAAGATTGGCCAGAGGAAAAAGACACATTCACTGCCACAGGCCCCATGGCCAAACCTGCAACAGCAATTTTTTGCAGCAAAAATTTGCAGTTGCAATAAAATTGCGGGGGTCAATTTTAACCCACAAATGTGATGACTGTTTTTCAGAATCAGGAAAGAGATGCTTCCCCACAATACCTTCTCTAATCTGCTGGGCAGAAGCTCTTAAACAGCTCTAGCTGCTGCAAAGTTACAAATGAGTCTCAAGGCCACTGTAAACAAAACACCAACTGACTCTCCACGTGGCAGATAAACATGTGGCAACACACAGACCATGTACGGATGTTAAAAATTCATCACGCGTGCCGACTTAAGCTAACACTGAGGAGAAAAATGCTGCTCACGCAGTAGGCCTAAGGCAAGGCAGAGAATGGGACAATCCTCAGGGAAAGCCGCCGGCAAGGGGAGTGTTGAGAATTTACTGTGGAAACGCCACCACTTCTTCAGAAGGCAAAGTATTTGGAGTGAAGTAAAATGCCCCTTACTTATTTCCAACAGGCAAAGTGCGAGACTGACTGGGCTCCAGCCTTCCGTCCCCTCTGAGCCTTGGTGCTCTAGTTATGAATGGGACGAGGGATCATGTTTTCTCACAGGGGCTACATGGACCAACTGAGCTTGTAAGTGAACATTTCTGTATAGTATCAGCGCTAAGAGCCCAGATGAATAAATGCTTTAATTTTGTACCCTATACTGGCCCAACCAGAAGCAGAGAGCTGAGGACTTAGTTTTCATTGTGCACACACGCACTGCTGACATGTCCACACGTAATGGAGGGAAGCACAGTTCCCCCCTCCAAAGACCCAACATAACGTTCTAAAGCAGACAAGACACTGTCTTGCCAATGACTTTCAGCCCTGGGCAAGTTCACTATGGGGTCAAAGGGACTGAAAAATGACAAGGGAACGTTCTTGGGGTGAAAGGGTTAAACCCAACTTGATTCCCATGGTGGCAGGTCAATCACTAGAATCCCATCCACTCAGAGCAGGCCTGGCACGCAGCAAGCCAATCTCTGCTTCTGGGCTTCTCTGCATCCCCCGCTCCCCTGTAGCCGTCCCAGTCTCTGTCCTTGGCGCTGCCACCACTGCAGTCTCTGCTCTCCTGCAGCCTTGCAGCCGTGCCACTGTGTTGCCCAGAGCACTGTGTGGAGCTCTTTCTATAGAGTCAGTAACAACGTATTGCCCACACGTGTAGTGAGCTAGCCGACCACGGCCAGGTGAGAATCCCGGCCACAGGAACCTTCACTTTATCCGTAGACATGCTCACGGGCCCTCGAGGAGAACGTTCCCAGCGTCCCAAGCTGGGTGACCCTGTCTGTTGCTTCTGTGGTTTGGCTGTGTACCTCCTTTGAAATAATGAAGCCTACAAAAAACTTGGCTTTCTTAACAAAACGTGCATGGAGTTGTTTGAAGAGCAATTTAAAAGTATACTTGGAAAATTCTTCACAATTGGAGAAGGTGCCGATGTTACCAGTTAACCAATAAACCAGGATAAAAAGAGGACCGGCATAATCTGGTTCTGATCTGTAGGAAAAAGTCCTTTGGGATCTCAAGTACAATTGAAAAAAATATCTTTCTTTTCAACTGATATACAATCTGCAAACAAATTACATATAAAAGATGGAAACTAATATAAGAACAAATTACAGCAGGTTTCTCTTCAGTAACATTGGCGGCTAGGAGCAATGGAATGATCCTTCAAAATTCTAAATAAAAACTATTTTCATTATAGAATTCTAAACACAGCAGTCTATCAATTGAGTATAAGGGATATGGAATTTAAAATTTCTGACAATTTCCTCCCATGAATCTTTTCTGAGGAAGTGTTGCAGACTGAACGCTTGTGTACCCCTAATATTCCTATGTTGGAGCCCTGAGCCCCAGTGTGATGGTGTTTGGAGGTGCAGCTTTTGGGAGGTGTTAGGTTTATCTCATGATGGGTGTGGATAAAATGAGAGTTCCTGTGGCGGGATTCTCACCTGGTCCTGGTTGACTAGCTCACTACACACGTGTAGGCAATGCGTCGTTATTGACTCTATATAAAGAGGTCCACCCAGTGCTCTGGGTGACACGGTGGCACGGCTGCAAGGCTGCAGGAGGGCAGAGCAGAGACTGGAGTGGTGGCAGCGCCGAGGACAGAGGCCCAGAGGCAGAGACCAGCTTGCTGCCTGCAGACTCGCTCTGAGTGAATGGGATTTCAGTAACTGACCTGCCACTGTGAGAATAAAGTTGGGTCTAACCCTTTCACCACAGGAACGTTTTACTGTCAATTTCTTTGGTCACATTGAATCCATAGTGAACTTGCCTGGCGCTGAAACCCACTGGCAAGCAACGGGATTAGTGAATGTCTTTAGAAGAAAAGGAAAGGCCAGAGTGCTTGGCCTGTTCCCCCTCCTGGCAAGGACACAGCGAGAAGCTGTAACACGGGCAGAGCTCCTAGCTGGGGAGCTGAGTCAGCCTTCAGAACTGTGAGGAGTAAATTCCTGCTGTTTAAGCCCCCAGTCTACGGTGTTCCGTTATGGCAGCCCGAATAGACCAAGACAGGCTGCTACTGGAGAACCTGCTCCACAAAAAAAAGGTAATAAATCAAGACAGCAGAAAGCATGTGTTCAGAAAACAG